CGCCTGGAGTCGATTGCGAGGAGCCATCAAGCGATACACAAGGCAAGATTCAGTTCGTACTGAACAATCTTACTGAGACAACCCTTCAGACCATGTGTCAAGAGTTGCGGGAAATCCTGGAGCACCGTTATCAGCAATGGTTTGCAAGCCATCTGGTCGAGGAGCGAGCCAAGATGCAGCCTAATTATCACCAAGTTTATCTTGAACTGGTCAAGCTGTTCGAGGACAAGATTTTGTGGGGAGAAGTTTTGAGAGAGACGTACGTGAGCGTTGCTCGTATGCTCAATTCAGAGGCCACCATGCAGAACTCGACCGAACGGTCACACCTCAAGAATCTTGGGGGTTGGCTTGGTCTTCTGACGCTGGCTCGCGATAAGCCGATTAAGCACAAGAACATTGCCTTCAAACAGCTCTTGATCGAGGCCCATGACACGAAAAGGCTTATCGTGGTTATTCCCTTCGTTTGCAAAGTTATTCTCCAGGGCGTCAACTCAACGGTATTTCGACCACCGAACCCATGGTTGATGGACATCATTCACTTGCTCATCGAGTTATATCACCATGCTGAGCTCAAGCTCAATCTTAAGTTCGAGATTGAAGTGTTGTGCAAAGGTCTCAACCTTGACCACAAAAGCATTGAGCCTTCCGGCGAGATTCTCAATCGTGCCGCTGTCGAAGATGTACAAGAGCTGGTTTCCCAAGACACTCTGGAAACGTTTGAGAATCTTTCTTTGAACGGGATTCCCACTGGTGTCACAGCTGGTCTCTCTCCTCAGGTCATTGCTGCATCAATCCCAGATCTTGGTCCGCTCATTCACATTCCGCCTACGAACGAAATGGTGGTAACGGCTACCCGATTGCACGAGATTGTTCGCACTGCTCTTACGCAGGCTTTGCAAGACATCATACAGCCCGTGGTAGACCGATCCGTCACTATTGCTGCCATTTCCACACAGCAAATGATTCACAAAGACTTTGCGACTGAGCCTGATGAAAACAGGGTCAGAACATCGGCCATCAGCATGGTGAAGGCGACTGCCGGGAGCTTGGCATTGGTGACTTCTAAGGAGCCGTTGAGAGCCAACTTCACGAATTATATGAGGAACTCATCCAATGATCTACCGCAAGGGTTGCCGGAGGGCACTATCATCATGTGTGTAAACTCAAATCTTGATCTTGCGTGCAACATCATCGAGAAGCAAGCTGAGGAGAGAGCGGTGCCGGAGATTGAGGAGATGATCGAGCCTGAACTGGAAGCACGCCGTCGTCATCGCCTCCAGCGACCTAATGAGCCATATGTGGATGCCTCTCTCAGTCGATGGGCATGGACTATTCCCAACCCGTTCAAGCTGTCGCCAAGCATGGGCGGCCTAAACCCTGAGCAGATGGCCATATACGAGGACTTCGCCCGCCAGCCTCGGACCACGACTTCTAATGCTCCATCACACGTACCCTCCGCTTCTGATGCGACTAGATCACTGGCCAACGAGGTTCTCCAAGATCAGTTCTCTACGGTACCGAGCCTGGGAGCCACGGCAGATGCGCCAACCGTTCAACATCTCGGCTCTCAGATTCAGCAGTATGCCCCCGTTCACAACGGAGCGATGCCTAGCGCGAGACCCCAAGCATTCCAAATGGATGGCCGCGCTCTGGTCGAACGCGTCCAGAAGCTTCTCATGGAACTGCAGCGCGTGGCGACCGAAGCGCGCGAGGAGCACTTCGCCGACCTCCCGAGGCCACACCCCGTCCTAGATGTGGTTGACGCATTGGTCCAGCATATGATCAAGGCATCACAGACTTCAGACGAGTTTGCGGTTTTTGCTGCCGATCAGATTATCCAGCTCATTTTCAGCCCGATTGATGACAATCTAGCCTTAGAAAGCCTGGTCCATGTTCTGGAGACGTTGCGGAAGATTTCTGGTCCAACACTGAACAACCGCGTCACTGCTCACTTCCGCCAGCAGCCTGGAGCCACCTTCCTCCAAATGCCACTCCTTGCTGCACTGCTACGCACCGATCTCCTCGACTGGAGAAACATTGACTTGTCTATGTCCAAAGCGCTGCAGCAAAGAAAAGAAGGCTCGCTAGACTTCTTGGACCAGATGGTCGATCTGACTCTCCTCGGCAACCGACCAATGGCGCTTTATGGCGACTTTGTTCGGACACTCGAGGCCGCTTGGTCCTGGATACAGGACGAGCCAGATTCAGCTATCGGACAGCGCTTGAAGGCGAAGCTCTCCGGTCAATCGCTGCCGCAAACTGCGCAACAGGAGAGCGAAGGCGCACTCCAGCAGGACCAGATGGAATACGTGTTTGACGAATGGATCCATCTTTGCAACAACCCCGACGGATCGGAGAACTCGTCCATCATGTTCGTGCAGCAAATGCAAATCAGAGGTGTCGTCAAGAGCAAGGACGACCTTTTTGTTTTCCTCAGAATCGCGACAGACATGTCGGTGGACAGGTTTGAGCACTTCGTCCATTCGACGGGAACCCTGACGGACGCCTTCCTAGCTGTCGATGCCCTTGCAAAGATGATCAACATCTTCATCAGACTTCACGGTGAAGCACAGCCGACTCCGACGCCAAGCCGGGCGGTCTACTTGGATTCCGTCTTGGCCTTCATTACTCTCGTGCTCAACCATCACCACGTGAAGCGTGCGGATCACTTCAACCAAAGAGTGTTCCATCGTTTGCTGTCGGTTCTCCTCTACGAAATCAGCTCTACTGCAGAGCAGCTCCCCGAGTCAGAGAGATCGGAGCTATTCCTGAAATTCGCTGCCAGACTCGCAGACCTTGGGCCAAAATATCTCCCTGGCTTCGTTTTCGGCTGGCTCTCTCTTCTCCAGCATCGGGCTTTCTTGCCTGCAGTTATGAAAGATCGCTCGGGGTGGGTCGCGTTTACCAGACTTCTGCAACTGCTCCTGGAACATATCGGCGAACAAGTCAAGGCCATCGAGCCCTCCAATGTAGCGCGAGAAATTTATCGCGCCACCCTCAAGCTACTCGTCATTCTACAGCACGACTACTCAGACTACCTCGCGGCACACTCACATCAACTCATAGCTAGTGTCCCTCCTCACTGCAAGCAACTCCTCAATGCCATATTGACAGCCAACCCAGCAGCCCATCCCAAGATGCCGGATCCTTCTTTCCCCGGTCTGCAAGCCGATAGGGTAGATGGTGCCAGGGACTCCCCTGAATGCCTAGACAACTCTGCGTCTATTCTGCGGGACTTGGGCTTGCTCGATGTCCTTGACCACGCGCTGCAGAACGGCCCATCCGAGGATACGTTAGCACACATCACGCGAGCCATTATCGAGAGCCAGCGATCTGACACGGGCTTTGGGCATGTGCCTATCAATGCCAATTTGCGAGTGGTCGAGGCAGTCACTCTCCATGTCGGCAACTATGCTGTCCAGCAGTCAACTCAGAAGGGCACGGATGTCTTCAATCCCGCCTCATCAGATGTGGCCACAATGTCCATCTTACTTCACGAGCTGCCCCCTGAAGCCCGCTACTATCTCATCACCAGCATCGCAAACCAACTGCGGTTCCCCAATGCCCATACCAACTACTTCAGTCGTATCTTACTGGAGATCTTTGGCCAGGACATGAATGACCCTGAGGAGACGGAGATCAGGCAGCAGATCACTCGGGTGCTTTGGGAACGCCTGATCGGCTACTGGCCCCAACCCTGGGGTCTCATGGTGACGGTTGTTGAGTTGCTCAAGAACGAGAAGTATATGTTCTTTGATCTCCCATTCGTCAAGTCAAACCCAGAGGTGAGCGAAGCAGCTTTGGCCGATTTCGTCGACATTCACCATTGACTAACATCGCGTCAAACAGGTCATTGAACGGTTCCATGCCATTTTACAGCGCGCATGAAAATCTGTTTGGAAAGGTTTGGCCCCAATCTGACAGTCACGTCTAAATGACAAGACGAGGCGATGGCAAGGTGTATTCGTCGGCTCAATCGCGGCACAAGACGGGTGGGGAAACAGGCGGAATGGGGGTTCACAAAAAGGAGATATGGGTGGCGATTCCTTCCTCAGGGCGTTCTACATGGAAATCACGGAAAAGAACCTGTAGTATTTATGCTAATGTACGATAATGAGAATTCTGGTGGTATGTTGGACATTCCGACCTAGAAGCGTTTGGCCTTCATTGCTTGTTCGTCCAAGCGGCGTCATGGCGACATTATAGAGATAAACACATAAAGTCCCCTGAGGCAACGGAGGGGGTCTCGAAACGAACCCAAGCACAGGTGTTTGTGTGTGGCAGCTATAGTGTTGAGGGATAGAGTCGAAGCAAACCAAATAGACAATACCTCAGAGAGACACCTTGACAAATAGTCGTGGTACTTTGTATCCTCAGCCTAACCCCTCTGCTTGGTCTTCTCGCTCTGAGTTACTTCCATTCCTCTGCTCCAGTAATCTGGCATACGCGCGAGGATAGGTGATATCCATTTTCACAGCGACCTTGGTCGTCGCCTACGGTGCATAACAAAGGCAAAAAGTTTGCTAGGCTATGTCCTAGCCATGTCATTGCCGGATACGACAGAGGCTGGCCATAAGAACACACAATTTGTTCGTCTTCGAGTAAACGGGGGTATAGATCCATTCCCCTCTCGAGATCTTCTCCTCAATAATTCACACCATTATTCATGTGAGATGCCTTCCTGGTATATATTCCTGAGAGCTTAGGCACAGAGTGCTACGCAGTAATGTCCACCCAGTAAGTAGTACACACATAAGAATACACGTTTCTATTGAAAGCAGGCCGGGCCTCGTGGCTTCCTCTGCGGTCATGATCTAGCTGAATCGCCGCTTGACTTGCCTACAAAATGACCGAGCAGACCTACTTCAGGAGCTCTGACGCTTTTCTTATTCATCGCACTCGCCTGTCGTGGATATCGTCACGGACCCTCTTTACCATGTGACCCAGATTCCCGCAGCTCCCTCCCACCCCTTGATAGAACCAGTAAAAGCGCATGAGCATCACAGCTCTTCCTCTTCCACATTCGTACCCGAGGTAGCCGGCGCAGTTGTCTGTGTCGGAACTCCACGGCTCATGACTTCGCTCAGCCCCGAGTTATTTGACTGAGCTCGGACTTGGTCGTCGCCGCCAGAAATACTCGGCCGATGTTTCTTCAGGGGGCTCCCAATCGTTCCCTCTATCGTAGCATTATTGCTAGGTTCCTGGTTCACGCGCCCAGAAAGATGGCCATTACCTGCAGCGCTTGCGGCACCAATCGATGGACTACCGAACGCGCCCGAGTTTGCAGAGCTATTCGTGGCACCTGCGTTCTCGGAGCGGTCGGGCTCGGCTGAGTGTGCTCTCTTGAGCTGTTTTATGAGGAGTTAGTTACCAAGCTTTGATAAGACGATGTGGTGAGTGGCACATACTCGGATACGGTTCACACCATCAGCGAGCTCCCCTTGAGATCTGACATCCTCGGGAGCGAGCTTGTTATTGATGTCCTTTTCATCAATGTCCTGCATCTTTCCAAGAAGTTCACTCTCGTCATCATCTTCGTCACTGTCGTCATTGAGAGCTCCCCCAACGTTGCCGTTACTCTTCTTGCGGGCTTTCCGTCGTCTGGTGGCCTCTGTATCCTGGTCTCTGAAGGCAGAAAACCCAACAGTGCCGGAGGTCTTCAAGGGGCCGAGGCTGGAAAAGTCTAGCTGCCCAGACCGACGTTTGGCAGATCCCGGCGTTGCCTGGGCTGCCTTTGAAGAAGCAATAATGCCAATCTTTTGGAGTTGCCCTGCGCATTGTTAGCCTCTTAGAACGCAACATCATTCGACTTCTTGCGAAACTGGCTAGCTTACTCTCTCCGCGGTAGAAGAATGTGAAAGAAGCATATGGCTTGTCGGGGCCATCGATACCCGTCACGGTCTGAGTACTAATAGTCTTCGGATCCAACGTCTTGGGCTTAGCAAAGCTTGTGGTGTGCTCCACATCAGCATCGACGCCGCTCTTTCCATTGCCTTGCTTTCCGGACTCCGCGTCATCGTCATCGTCATGAGCATCGAACTGTGGAGAGTATTCTCCTTTTTTTATTTCGCCAGAAGCAAGCACACGGAACATCAGCACCTTGATCTGTCCAGTTGCCTCAGGAATCTCGTCATCGTCGGACAAGGAGTCAGAGTCGTCCTCGCCAAAAACAGCCTCAACAGGAGATCCGTCCTCGGCACCGTAGCGTAGAGTGTCTCTGGGGCCGTTGGGGCCCTGCTCAACTTGCATGCTTGTCGCTCCAGTTGTAGCCTTTTGCCTCCGACGTCGCTTCTCAAACTTTTGGCGCCGGCGTTCCAGCTTTTCTGCGGCATCGTGACCTTGAAGGTCCAAGCCATTAAGCCAACGCTCCAAGCCGACTTCGCGGAACAAAAATTCACGCTCGGCAAGACCTCCACCTTCAGAGTCGGGTACCTGGACCCAACGACTGTTGACCCAGGTCTCCTCACCCGGTCGCAGAAGCGTGGCGACTTCCTCCTTGGATCTTCCGTCAAAGTATATGTAGGCGGCTATAGTCTCATTCTCGGAATTGGTCATGGGAATATAGGGGTTGACGACTCCGGAGAACTTCGAAGGACCTTGAGCGGCGGTGGGCAGGCCCCCGACAAACTGGGGCTTGGGATAAGGGTTCGTCTCGGTGGACTTCGGAGTCGAGTACGGGATCGGCAAGCCGGGTGTCAAGAGGGTGATTGATATGGCGAACTTGGCAGGCTCGGGCTTGTTCGAATCGGGGTTGATGCTTGGCTGAGGCACGGGTATATAGGTGCTGATGCGTGACAGTCGTGACTGCTTTTGCATACCATGCTCGGGAAGAGGGGCACCGTTGGCATGTATGCTAACAGCAATCCCTTTAAAGCAGGGCATGGTTGCGAAGCGGACTAGAGCGCGTAGAAGCGCCGCAGTCTGAGCAAGAAAGGAGAATCGGCGGAGTGCACCGCGGTCGCCAGTGACAATGCGGCGATCTGGAGGTTTCCTTGCAAATGCGGCGTACAGACAGCTGGTTAAAGCTGCGTGAGATCAGCTGAAGGCCGTAGTTTGGGTGGGTTGTTGAGTCGGTAGTTTCGTGAGTGGTTTGCGGGATACGCTGCGGCACGACGCGGACGAGGTGGTAATAGTGGGGGGTTGCTTCTTTGCCTTGGTGATTGCCGAGGAGGGCGCAAGCAACGGTATTTTGCAAGAGTGATCTGTTGGCTCAACGATGTCAAAAGTCGCAGGAGCGGGTAGCGAGTGGGCTACAGCGTAATGAGGTAGCAGTTGATGCGACTATGAGGTCGAAGCTGAAGTAGAAATTGCTCTTCTTCACCGTCTCCGAATGGACCTGGTTGAAGTGGATCTGGCGACCGGGGGCAATGAGACCTTGGGCGAGGAGGCCTAGGTGCAAATAGAGCGCATATTGCCCCAACGACAGTGGAGAGACAGAGGTGTGGGATCTGAGAGAGGAAATTATCGAAAAGTAGGAGATGATGAGGCTGAAAAATACCAGAGTATTGTTGGCTACAGCGTGGTGTGGTCGAAGTTAGGATAAGGCTCAAGACGATGGCGGCGGCAGCTGGCGGTGTGGGAGGGCAACGAAGCGACAAGATAGTGCCCTGGAGGGGAAATGTTGCTTGGGTGTCCCGTGTCCGTGCTTGGATGTTCCCGCAAGTGCAGCTTCCTACATGTGCTGGGATCAAGTGCACTGGTGCACTGTGGGGGGCTGGCACTTCCCATCCCCGAGGTCCTATGTCAATGGCCTGCGTATTGGTAGGTAATCCAGGCCGCGACTTATTACCTTGACTTAGCTCCGTACCTCAAGTGCCTCCCAACATCCTGTTAGGTAAGCAAAGGCATACCCATCGTGCTCTCCTGGATACCTACCTATCTGGACCTCGTTAGATGGTGACTTTGGTGTTTACCTACCTTGTGATGCCTTACAAACACTCACAATCAACATCGCCGCTGACAGCTGGCTCACACCTCATTTTTCTACCCGAGGCATGTACTACCTAGCTTCATAGTACCTTCGTTTCGTTACACTCCGAGGAAATCGAGGCAAGCAGCTTTGTTTTATAAACATTTTGTTGAGTGAATGCCGAATCCTCGGCGGCTTCTCTCAATAGTCTCTTGCTTCTTCCATCCCGACATGTCATTACCTCAAGGTACTCTCGCCAGGTCCCAGCAAGGGATCAGCAATAATACCGCCACAGCAAGCACTCCCTCGTTAACTTCTATGCGATGACCTCCGCCGCACACTACTGGAACCTCCCTCACTATAACTCGTTCCAATGCCCGAGTCTCCTCTGAAGCCCCTTCCGTCATCTTCTTCCTCGTCGTCGGCCTCACCGCCGAGCGGGAGCAGGTCCTCCGCACGAGGCTCATCCTTAACTTCAGGCTCATAACGTAACGGAGCCTGATTACCATAGGTCGGAAAGGTCCTCGGGGCATCTGACAGCTCGTCGATGCCACTTCCATCCTCTCGCTTGACTTGACCTATCGACTTATTGTACGATTTTTGCACGATTTCTCCATTGCCGATGCCAGAGCCCTGTGACGATCCTGAAAACCCAGACCATGCCAACCATGCCACAGCCATGAATACGATCTCGGATGCCCAGAATAACAGGACGGCAGCGGTCAGAGTCGTCACACGGTAGTTGTACATCAGCCAACGCAATCCCCGCAGCTGAGCAGTCAGCGTTATTGAAGCAGAGTACGTCTCGATATCCTGGCCGCCCTGAAGTTCAAGGTACGCTGAAGCGGGTAAGGAAGAGCCTTTGGCCAACTCGACGCGCTCGGCCATCGGGACGGTAAGCACGCAAGTTTCCGAGTCGGAGAACAAAATATGGTAGGCTAAGAAGAGGATTCGCGACGCTATCGATACCATTGGATCTTGATATGGCACCAAAGCGGGCCGCCTTGAAGACAAAAGGACTGTCTTTCCATCGAAATGAGCATAGGGTTCAGGAGCGATATGAGGCTGTATTTTGTCGCTTCCCGTCGACAAGGCTCCGAGATCCAGCAGGTGGATGGCAATCATGAAGTTGCCTCGCTGTGTGTTGGCAGGCGAACGGGGCATAGACAACGTGACGGACACATCGTACTCCTGCTGCGTTCTCAGAGCAGACGTCGGGATGGTTGCTGTTCCAAAGGGATTTGCGCCTGATCTAGAGGTGAGGTTAGACCGCAACATCTTGGTTGGATCAAACTTGAGGCAGGCGGGAAGCGCGAGGAAGACTCACCCGTACTGGAGGTGGACTGCGGTTGTCACTACTTGCTCAGGTAGGTAGTCGCGGAAGAATAGGACCGAGGCGATAGCAGCAAAGGGCAGTAGAAATAGCGACGTGCCCACAAGGAGGCTAGCGTTCACAAGTGTCCGCTGTGCAGTTTTGGACGTGGCCGCCCGGGACGCCTTGCTCAACACCTCCTACCAACACCAGACTTAGAATCTCAAGGGCTAGCGAAACGTAATACTGGGCAGAGAGCGTACCATTGTATCCGAGAACGGATGTAGTTGTTTGCCGTGGGAGCTCAGGGAAGTAGTCTCAGTAAGTAAGCGAGAGGGTGCACCGGCTGGAGGTTTGAGAGCAAGTTGTGGGAAAATGCTGCCGTCCGAATTACAAGCGATGCCGTCCGAAGCATACGACCAGTTGCTGCACCAAGGTAGATTTGTATGTTGGTAGAGTGTTGTCGTTGTGCAGAGGGTGTGAGCGATTAGCTGTACTTGCAGCGAAGAAAGACGAACGTAGTCAAATGGGCCGTTGAAGGCAGCACCCTACGCTCCTGGAAAGAAGAGACGCAATCCGGGCACTGGCTTTGAACAGGCCAGAGCTCCTGGCCACGCTGGATGTTGATGTTGAGATGCGAAAGTGAAGCGCAGATCAATTTGAAAGCTCGAGCTGCTCTAAGCAAAGGGATGACGGTGGGCAAGGTGGCTCAAGCCCCGCCAATTGAGGTGGTGTCAGGTTGCGTGAGGTACCTGGCCCGTACCAGTTCAAAAAGCTGTGGCGCTGGGCTGGCACGCCGCCATTCTCAGACCTCCACTTCGCCCTCGCCAGCTGGAATTTGCTAATCTTCCCGATGGCTACCGCTGTTGCTTCGAAGGTAACGGGTAGCTTGGCAAAGCGCAGAGCTGTTGCCGGTTCATTCAGATTGAAGGCTATTACCAACCTAATACAGCGGCTGCTTCAACTGGCATGTGACGTTCCGGAGCAGCTACCCATAGCTAACACCCAACATATGGTAAGGTACATGGCAAGGGTAGGTACGGGTAGGTGTTGTCTCTACCTTGCCTGCGAAAGGCAAGTGGGGTTAATTTGATATGAGGCACCTTATCTTCAGTACCTCCTGCGTACCTAAGGTACCGATGGATACCTTGGCTGAGCGGTTTCCCCGCGTCGATGTACCTGACCATAGGTACAGTGCGTACGTAGGTAGGTTGGATAAGGCAGTGTGCTCTTGGCGGAAATGTCCGTGCATCACAACTAAGGTAAAGAGGAAAGTATGACTACCCGTGCAATTCCCAAGGTGATCAACAAATGCGATGTACGGATGAGATAGTAAGGTATAACAGAGGCACAAAGGTGAATGCAGTCAAATGTGTCGCAGTGAATACCGATTAACCTGCTTCTAGGTGACGTCATTCTCCATTTATGTACTTCATTTGACGCGACGTAGGCACTTCATATTGAACCATCTACACTGCCTGGGCTCTGGTTGCCTCAACGCTTCCGATACAAATAAACGCTCCAGGAAGCAATTCATGAAACAATAGTCCTGGCCGGCTCAGAAATGGCTTCACAACAGGATCTTCAAGAGTTGCTAAGGGTCATCACCTCTCGGAAGGGAGTAACGATGATGGCTGCAATGGGTCAGGTCAAAGCATTGCAGACAGTGCAGCTTCGGAGGTATGTTGATCGAGAGTGTGGTTCTGCTTTTATATTCCACCAGTCTTACGAGCATGTGGATAGTATCCAGCAGATAAGTGACGCTCCGCTCGACCTGATAGAGCGTGGTCTGGGTGACTCAAAGTCGGCCAAGGCTCTACAGACTGCATGCAAGACTCACCTGAAGAGGGCAAGTACCAAAAGATCCGGGGATCATCTGACCTCTCCAGGTGAGAAGCGTCCCAAGAACCATCACCCTGGCGACAATGCCGGAGGCCCTGCCCAACGTGTAGAGGATACAGAGGCTGCTCTGAGTCTTCCCGTGGTTACGGACGAGAAGGAGATCGCCGGAGCGTCCATATTCACCAATCGGGCGCCATTGATGTTGGCCTTCGTGTTGGAACTTCTCAGGCACACAATGCCAATGCAGCCTATGTCGAGTCGCCTCAGCTTAGCCCAGGCTGTTGTCAGCGCCAACTCAAAGTCAAAGGCCATCAGCATTGGACTGGCCAAGGCCGCCAACGAAGACGGCTCATGGGGCGAAGGACAGCCAAAGGTCAACATTATGGGTAGAGCTATAGCTGTTCTCAAGAGAGGCGACTTCGATTTGCAAGGCAGTGGTTTGGTATCCCCGGAATCTCCAGAGAGAGCTTCAGATGATAGTCTGCAGGGCAGGAAGCCCTCAGAATCCTCGAAGCAAGACCCTGGCAGCGTTGCATTCACAGAAAATCGGTGGTCTGCTAGCCGTCAGGTCACTTTCAAATCGTCCACCTTTGTTGCACGGGTGGCAAATGTCGAGGACGGCACTCAGGCGTCAGGTCTCGTTCGCTCCCTTCTGCTATCAGATCCACATTTACAAGCGGCCACACATAACGCCTGGGCATACCGAGTGAAGAGGAAAGGGCAAGGCGGCAGGCAAGACAAGTGGTCGGAAGAGGTACGCGAGGCAAGCGAGGACGACGGCGAAAGTGGCTGCGGCGAATTCATACAACGACTGATTCGGGAGGCCGGCATTGTCAACGTGGTTGTAGTGCTGACCAGGTGGTTCGGAGGAGAGATGCTAGGCCCAGATCGCTGGAGACTGATGCGCAACGTCGTCACAGAGGCGCTTTCCCAGAGGCTACGACTCACCCAGGGCCACGGGGGCTGCGATGATGTGGCCGTATGGGCACTGGATCTTCAGAATACGGGCAATGGACCTGGTAGCCGCAGTGCCAACGGAACAAGTGGTAACGTCGTCGGGATTCCTACCTATCGTCCGGAATCAGCTCGGGCGTACTTGCTTAAGAGTTTTGCTTCCGGCCAATCTGAAGGTGTTCCCATAGGCGACAATTCCGGCGGGAGTGCTTCTAAAGCCAAACAAAAGAGGGTGAGCAAATCGGAGGGCGATGGAGAGAGAGTGCGCAACCTTGGCCGTCTCCTCGGAGCTCTCAGACTGCTGTTCGATAGCTGGAGCAGCCTTGGACCTCGTGAGATGGACCGCAAGGCATTCTCATGGTATGCGTCTATTAGACCAGACGTACAGCCAGGGGTCGCAGGATGGGGCGCCAAAGGTTGGCTGAAGCTAGATTCAATACTTCAGCTACGTCGAGATGACACCAATAGTTCGAGGAAATAGGTTATCGACCCGGCAGCATGCCCGGGCCTTTGGCAACCCAAAGCGCTCACGTTCGCTCTCAATATCTGCAGGCCGAGATTGAGATTGGGTAGAACACAATCCTGTCATCCACGTACAACAATATGTATCTCAACCTCAATGGCGTCTTCGCCGAGACACTATTGATAAGGCACTCACTCACTGCTTCGCGGAGCTACCGTGGTCCCGGGGAGTCGGAATTGAAGAAATTGCGGGACCAGGACGGGATGACCCCTGTTCAAGCCCGGTCCCACACAATCCAGGTAAGCTAGTGGCTACCTCAAGGTAGTTTGGGTGACAAACTTACGCAGTAAGTAGCTAAGGTGGCTCGCCTCCCGTCTGCGAATAAGAATATCTTATCAGAATACTGGACCTGGCCATGCTTTATTAACGGGTCATTAAACATTACGGCTGTGCACACACACACACACACACACACACACACACCCCTCGCCATACAGGGTCAGTATTTCCGCATATACCACTTTCCTTGAGACGAAAATGTGGCGAGGTGATACCTTGGGCAGCTACGCCATGATCTAATTCTCCCGCACTTAGTTCCTGAAAACACCAAAGTACACTCTGTGTCGGCTCTGGCAGCGATTGCGAATCATGTTACACCTTGCAATCGGCGCGAGCGCCCCCAGCTGGGCTGCTTGTCGCTTCCTAACAATATCTCGACGGCTCTCTTCAGCTCGACCCGCAGGCCATGGTGCAAGAGCTCCAAGGCCGTTAGTCCAACCAGTCTTCTGCCCAACATATATTGCTAACCATGCTACAGCTACGCTTCTCGTCGTGCCAACCAACTTCCTCCCAGTCCCACCACTCCGAATACTCTCGAAACAGCCGATGCCATCTTCAAGGCCAGGAAGATACCTTTGCTTGCCTCCGGGGTAGTAGCTCTGGGTCTGGGAATATATGTTAGCCTTTTGGCATCCTCGTTCTATTCCTCGACCTGCCACGAGAATTCAGAGCCAGCGCCAGATGAAGTTCCAACAGGGCGACCTAGCGTCTTCAGCAATGATTCTGCTAAGAAATTTGACCAAAGTCTCGAGGGCTCAGAATGGTTGATGGGTATCACCTCTCTGCGGAAAAGGCTTGCTGCAGAGGCTTTCGGGCATGTGCTTGAAGTCGCCATGGGCACTGGCCGTAACCTTCCCTTTTACGACTGGAGTCATGTTATTAGCTCTCCGAACTCAGCAACCCAGGCACTTGCAGGACCAAAGGCCAACGCACGACCACGCAAGACCGACGCGGCCATCGCGGCACCGATGATCTCCTATACGGGAATTGACATCTCTGACGAAATGCTTGGCGTTGCTGCCCAAAAGCTCGCAGAAACTGTGCCGGAGCTGGCTGGTGCCGACCCAATAACTGAGAAGCAGACTGTGCCGTCTCCGGCTGAGTGGAATGATATTTCCTACCACGCCGGGAGACTACGAATGTTCCGATCAGATATTCACGAACATATTCCTTCGCCTCCTCAGCAATCTTGTCCGCAAGCTAAATACGACTTCATCTGTTCGACATTTTCTCTGTGCAGTGTCCGCGACCCAGAACAAATGGTTCGGGATTTGGCCAGCAAAGTCAAGCCGAACACAGGCAAGATCGTCCTAGTCGAGCATGGTAGAGGATGGTGGGGATTTGTTAATGGGTTACTCGATAAGTCTGCAGCTTCTCATTTCCAGAGTAAGCTTGATTTCTTCCACGACAATCATCGTCACAAATTTACTAAGCTGCTCTTTCAGAATATGGATGCTGGTGGAATCGAGACATCGCCGAGATTGTCGAGAACGCCGCACAGTCTACACCGGGACTCCAAGTCACAAAGGTAGATCGTCCGTACTTCACACAGCTCGGGACGACCCTGTGGATTGAGTTAAAAGTTTCGGATTCGGGCGTCTTAAGTAATCCCTAGTCTTCATACTCGCAAACCAAGAGTCATGATGCACTTGCTGTAGTCTGGTGGTTAACAGAAGTCGGCGTCAATAGCTGACCTTCGAGATTTGTAAGGAAAGGGGAGGTTTGTTTATTTCATTTCAATCATACCCGGCCAAGTTTCGAGTTTAATCCTCCCGGCTTAGATTCCCAAACACCATGTCTGCACAGACTCCTTCGGGACCAGCTGCTGTAACAACTACTAATACAAGAAAGACATCCGCCCATTCCCTGATTGTACTTCCAAACGAAGTCAACTTCACGCTATCGTATACCCTGGTTCTCCTTTTGTTTTCGTCATCGTCCACCAACGCCAGCTAAGTATCAAATCTCCAGGAAGGGAGCCCAATTGATGTCAGAGTCAGCAGGCCAAGCCGTACCTCGTATTCGGTTGCCCCAAACATTCTCAGTCGACACTCCGTACGGTGATGCGGGACGTGGAGCATGCCTTCGCTTCACGTAACATTTCACGACCGTTAACAAGAGTCCAGCAAACAATCAAGCTCATCAAGTTCAATACTTTCAGGGCTATGGTCCCATTCTAGGAGGCCCCCTAGCTTGAACCAGCTGTCGCTGTCATTTTCTTTTTTGGCGCTCGCTGGGACGGTTGCCTTAAAGGCAGGGCTCGTGATGAAATGATGCATAGTTGCCAACCCGCTGTTTACGGCCACGCCGGTTCTCTCGTCGAACATGACATCATCCCGTGCCGGTTCATAGGCATTGGCAGATTGCTCGCCATTGCCCGTCAAAGACAGTTCGCGGGCGAGCTTGCGTTTCTGCAAACAGTCGGCCGTCTGCGTAAACTCTCGTTCATCCTTTTCCAGAGGAGGGGAGGCACTGCGCTGGCTTCTTGAGTACCGGAAACTGCTTGGTAGTGACCCGACGGGAGTAGTAGGCATGGCAAAGTCTTCGTCACCATCATCAAATTCAGGAGAGGAAAGATCGACCTCGGGGGACGGGCTTAAATCCCGCCGGCGAAGGTCGATGTCGTCACCATCTTCGGATCCAGACGCAATGCTAGAGAGAGATGGAGAAATGACTGCGCGCTGAGCGAAGGCCGGAGAGTCTGGGAAGGGCAGTCTTGGGCGCGTTGTGAGATAGAAGTATGTCCGGCGCGGGTGTATCTTTTCGAGTTCCTTAGCCATCGGGCAAGGTGCTTGGCCACTCCAACATGATCGCTTCAGGTAGGCAGAGAGGCGGGAGGAAACAATGGCGCATGGGTTTGCAGAGCTACGAATCTGTTAGAAAACCTGTGAAGACTTGAGAAGGGAGCTGAGGGGCTTACTTCTTGACAATTGGAATCTGCTGCGAAAGCACAGTTGCCAGCTCTCGCACCAGATGAGGTCGGTTGCAGGTGGCCTGTAATTGAGCAATAGTAGCTTCTACAATCTCGTCGTTGATTCCCTCAATCTTCATGTGAGTGGCAGATTCGGCGTCGCTGTGGGCTTCCTGCATCTCGACATTACTTATTGTTGGAGACGGCGGCGGCGTATGATCGAAAATGACAGCGTCTCCGGCATGTTTTTGTGACGTCGGCCCATGCACTGTCTCATCCCCATGCGAACGTTTTTGTCTCTTATTTGGGCGCGCTATTGTTGTCGATGTGATTGTTATGCGGTTTCCTCCATTTTCGGAATTGCTTCGACCCGGCGCGGCAGCCGAACTGCGATTTGAATGGCTCCCTGGAACATGAATGCCCAGCGATGGGAGAGACAAAGATTTGCGGCGAGTGTTGTATGGCATCTTGGCTAGGCTTGTCCAGAGGAGATAGGGAGTACAGATGGATGTGAATGGTAATAATGGTTTGGACGAGGTCAAAGAACACAGAGACGAAGTCACTTTGGGCGATGGGAAGAAATGGTGCAGTGATAACATGCGTCCTCGTTTGTTATGGGGAGTGGTAGATGGGATTTCCGTGCTGGGAAACGACATAATACTGGAACGAGGGAAAGCCAAGCTAGCAGCCTTTTTTTTTTTTTTTTTTCCCTTTTTTTTTTTCTTTTCCTAGCCAGTCTCCACCTTTCCACAGGCGCCCCTTGACCATATACGCAAGGGGTCCAGTCCGATGAGGGGCGGAACAAGCGAATGCTCCACCCTGGCGTGCCGAGACTAAGGAACCTAACCATGCGTACGTGCTGCGGAGGGCGAATAGGTGGCGTTCCTATAGGCTATACGTCAGGAGTACCTCTCCGTATCACCCGGTCGAAAAGATTTTAAAGTGGGGACATGTTCGGAGTGAAGCTGGTATACCTGATAATAAGGGATGTCCTATCCTGCGTCAAAAATTTCCGGACGAATTAATAGAAATGCTGATTGGCTCCTAAGGACAGACCGCAAGGCGGTGTTAGTACGTAAATCGAGACGTGCATAACTATTTAAGAAATGATATTAATATTGATAAAGCATATTTATTTATTTTTATTTATTTTTAAAGTTCTACCTTTACTAAATACTTAGGTAATTCTGAATATTAATTATATAATATTAATATATAATACTAATAAATACTTTTACTATTTTAATAAATTATTTTTCTATAAATAAATTTAACTTTTTTTTAAAGTTTATACCTATAATTAGTTTTATATTAATAATAATATAAAGCGCGGGATGTTATTATTTTATAAACCCGTATACTTAGCTAAGTTTATTATTTTTTAAATAATAATACTTTATAATAATAATATTGAAAATACCCTTATTATTATTATTAGAAACACTCTCGTTATTATTATTACTAATATTTATTTATTTTAATTTTAATTTTTATATATATTTTTAAAAATAGTAATTATTTTTTAATTTTTTATTAAATACTTAGGTAATGTTTTTTTTATAAAGTTTATAATAATAAATTAATAATAATATTAAATATAATATTAGTAAATAACGTACTTATATAGCGAGTTACTTATTATAATAAATTACCTATTTTTAAATACCTTCTTATTATTTATATAAGTTAATTAAGCTATATTATAAAAAATTAATTAGAATTACTTATTAACCTCTTTTTTAAAGGTTTCTTAAACTACTTAATATATTTATATATTATATTTAATTTTTTTATAATTATTATATTATTATATACGTAATTTACTCCCCTTTATACAAATACCCTCTAAATATATATTTTCGTTTTTAATATTAATAACCCCCTTTTTTACCCAAATTACTTTAATTTTAATAATATTAAATAACTCTTTAAAATATAATTAAGTTTTTTTAGCCTTTTAGTACTTATTTAGTATTTTATTTATTATATAAAACTTATGGTATTTAGTTTTAATAAGAGTTAGTTTATATATTAATTTACTAATATTTTTAGTTTATAAATTAATAACTTTATATAAATATATTAATAGATTATTTTAATAATTATAAATCCGTTTTTTTAAATAAAATAGAGCTTTATATAATATTATATATTATAACTAATTAATTTTTAAATATATATAATAAAATGTATATTGGATTATAATAAGTAAAGAACTTTATATAACGCGTCCCTAAATTAAAAATACGATTTTAATATTGAATTAATTATTAAAAGGCCTTAGTAAGATCTTATTATTATATAAAGCTAGTTTATTTTTATATAAAATATAATTACGAAATATAAAATATAACGTACTTATATAGTGAGCGATATATTATAACGAGCAACGTACGTTTTTATAATTCTATTTTTTTTATTTTTAAAATATCTTTTTTCTATATATAAATATATAATCTTTTTTAAATAAAACCCGAATTATTTTTATTTTTTAAATTATTAAAAAAAACTTAAAAATATTTATATAAAAAGCTATTTTTATTTTTAAAATCCTTAAATTAACCTTTTATTATTAACGTATTAAATATATTATACGAGGTAAAAAATAATTAAATTTAATAAAAATAATTATAATAAAAAAAGAAGTAATTTTTAAATAAGTTATTGACTTAATTAATTAAGGGTTCTTTTTATAATAAAAAAACGTATAAAAAATAGCTAATTAATTTTTAAATATATATAATAAAATACGTATTAAATTACGATAAATAAAGAACTTCGTACGACGCGTTTTTAAATTAAAAATATAATTTTAATATTAAATTAATTATTAAAAAGCCTTAACTCAAAATCTTATTATTATATAAACCTAATTTATTTTTATATAAAATATAATTATAAAATACGAAATATATAATAATAATAATTATAATTTTAATAAAACGGGCTTTTTAATAAGAATATTATTATATATAAAAGTTATTACGATTTTTAATTATAATAAAAAGCTTTATATAAAATAGTTTAGTAATTAAAAATAGGTTTTTATTATTTAAAATATATATTTAAATAGCTAAGTATTACCTCTATATATTATTATAAAAAATAAAATTTTTTTTTTTAATATATTAATAGCTAATTCTTAGCTATGTAATATATTTATCTAAGTAAAAATAGATAAATAATAAATAATATTAGCTTAGATTAACTAAAGTATTTTAATTAATATATAACGACTTATATAAAGGGCTCTTATTACTATTTAATCTTTAATAATTATAATAACTATAAATTAACTAATTTTAATAAATATTATAAAAAATAAAATATTATTATTTTTTATATACTTCCCT